TATTCATATTTTAAAGGTATGTAAGGTATTGTTTTTTCATGCTTTTGTTAAGTCTACAAAATTGTCATAATGTAATTTGTTTTTAGAAGTGATGTAATGCAAACACTTCAAGTGCTCTTTAAACTTGTACCATAATTTTAAGGTGATGTGAAACAATTGTTGGTGTTTATATGTACTGGTAGCCCACACACAAATTTTATTTTTAAGAGTAAGTATGTAGAAATATTTTGTAATTTATGTCATGTACTGATTATTATAGCTTTTTATTGTTTTTTGAAAAATTAGCACTGAGGAGGGGTTGGGTGTATGTACCAACCTGAATATGTCATTTTTTAAAGAATAAAAGTGAGTTCCTAACTAAAAGTTTTGCTGTGAGTCCGTCTACTGAAAATTTTTGGATTACAGAGACGAATTATATACACAAACAAATTATTTGTTAGCAATATTCCTAATGAAGCCACCATGAAAGATTTGGGAAAAGCATTTCCGGCAGCAGTGAATGTATATCTTAATTCAGATGCAAACAGGACTTCTCAGATTTCATTTGATAGTGAAGAAGCTGCAGTTGAAGCTTTTAAAAAGAATTCCTCCTTAAAAATAAAAGGGACTCCGATTGTTGTTTTATATGCGCTAATCAATAAGCATTGTAATAAGGGAAAAGACGGAAGAGGTCAAGGTTCTCCAAGACCATTTCACCAAGGACAAGGATTTAGGAAGTCTTAACAAGCAGAGGAAGCCATCAAAACAGTTTTGACGATGATGATATGAGTGATATTGAAGTAGGAAGTGATGAAAGTGAAGAGGAAGAAGAAAGTGATGATGACGACGATGACAGTTTAGATGAAGGAGGAGGATACGAAAAAGCCAAATAAAGGCAGAGATTTAGGACAGTCATTTGCAGATAAGAGCATGAATAGCAAAACTCCAGCTAAAACTCCTAATAAATTAACTGTTCAACAAAATTCACAGAAAAAGCAGATTGAAAATAAAACATCCAAGACACCTAAACAACAGATTTTTAAAATACAAGAGAAAAATAAGAAGACATACAATTTAAGAAAAAAGAAGCTAGACCTTATCGAGTTAATGACTTGGTTGCCATCAAAAGGACTCAATTTGGACTGCAATTGAAACTAAAACCAAAGTATCTTGGACCCTACAAAATTGTGAAAGTTAAAAGAGGAAACACATACAACATAGTCAAGGAAGGAGACTACAAAAGACCAAATGGCACGACAACATGTTCCGAATTTCTGAAACCATGGAATGGTATTCCAGAGTGCTAGTGAGAGGACCAACATTAAGATGAATTTCAAGAAGATAAGAAAAAGAAGATGCTAAAAAAAAAAAAAAGAGAGAAAGAGGAAAGACAACAAATGACATTTAAAGATGAAAGAACTGTTTAAAGACAACAAAATGAGTTTTAAGACGAAAATTGTTTCTTATTCATTTTCCAAGACAGACGTTTGACAGACTTTAAAGACGATCAACCTTAAAACTTTTACTCTTCAGAGACATATTTTTGCAGTTTGTTTTCTGTTTTTTTCTTTTATATTTCAGTGTCGCTGGAGGTCCAGACGAATCTAGGACAACCAAATGTGGTGACCGTCCCCCACGTTGACATGATTTGGTTGAGTCTGATTTTGTGTGCAGGCATCTAGCGCAGGTGGGAAAAAAGACAAAACGTTAGAGTTACAACATAGTGCAAATGACGTGTCAGCTTCAAGACGATTAATAATTAGTTTCAAGATGACTTGTTTAGCATTCATCGTTTTGTCACGTTTTGTTTTGTATCGTATTAAAATATACGTCATTATACAAGGTGCATTTTCATAAGTAATATGACCAATTTTTTCATGATACGATGATACGCTGTATCTAGTTCTAACCTGCTGCACTAGATAGCATGGGGTGTTAGCTTCAAAACTCGCTCGGTCTCATTTGCTTCCAAGCTGCCGGTGGGTGAGGATGTTTATTCCCATAAACCCCATTTTGAGTTAATGTAACACGGCACAATGGATCATTTTGTGGAGCAACTTTACGCTATCAAATTTTGCATTAAACTTGGAAAGTCCGCCTTTACATTAATTCAGCAGACCTTTGGGAGTGATTGCTTGTCCAAATCACAAGTTTTCCGATGGCACAAGTCGCCCCATCCCAAGAAGGCACACATGAGCAAGTCTAGGATCAAAACCATGCTCATTGTCTTCTTTGATGTCAGAGGCATTATCCAACTCGAATTCATACCTGCCAGGACCACTGTAAATGCAGCTTTCTACTTGGAAGTGCTCAAAAGACTGAAAAGGAGGGTTGCGCGCTGCCAAAGTGACATCAAGGGCACGGAAACTTCATCACGACAATGCGCCAAGCCACAGCGCCTTCATTGTCAACAGTTTCCTGGCCAGGACCCATACCCCATTGGTTCCACAGCCGCCATACAGTCCTGACCTGGCTCCTGCTGACTTTTTTTTTTGTTTCCTCACGTAAAAGGGACCATGAAAGGGAAACATTGGGACACGATTGAAAACAGAGCTTATGAGCTTTAGAGCTTATGTTACATCAGCTCTAAAGGATATTCCAGAGGAGGCCTTCCAGAATGTCTTCCAGGCCTGGAAACACTGCCTTCACAAGTGTATTGATGCAGGAGGGTGCTATTTCGAAGATTTTTGACTAATTGTAAGAATATGTTCAATAAATGATTTTTTATGAATTAGGTCACATTACTTATGAAACGCACCTTGTATGTCATAGTTCTTCATATTTTTTCTTAAACTGTGTTCTGCATATGCTTCTTAACACCCAGCCCAGCCATCTTTAGACACCACATATATATATACATATACACATCCTTTAGCTCAAAATTTCCTGAATGAAACTTTTTAAACCACATTTGACATGTTTAAAGTTTAGGAGCACCTACCCCATGCACAGTACAAATTGTTTTTACTGTTTGCAAGATGTTATAGTCTTTCTGAAACTCAAAGCATAATACATTTCAACTTGATTTTATTTGAATAAAATGTGAGGTAAAAAGTTTAAAATAAGCTTCTAAAGAAAGAATACAATATTAAGCAGTAAAGTCTACGAGGAAGGTTGTAGTATCAATGATTGAGATGAAAAAAAAACTTTTCACAAAGCACGAAAGCAATACATGTGCGATGGATCTGGTAGCAATGTTTAAAATGCCGAAATCAACAATGTGTGATCAGTGAACACAATTTTAATTTTATTATAAAGTATTTATATGTTTCAATTATTGTTTTCATGTCTTAATTTACTACTAGGGCATTTAATTATCTTATTTTTACCTCAAATTATGTGTATTTGCTGTTTTAAGTTTATGAAAATGAGTATTGTTTAGGATCTGGAAATTAATTCACTTATTATTATTTCTACTGGGAAAAATTGATTTGGACTTCACATGGCCTTCTGGAATGAATTAAATTCGGAGTATGAGGCACCACTGTATTATATTTAAGACCAGTTGCATAAGTTACCATATAAACTACAGAATAAATTTAACCTTGTCCCTAATCTAAAGAATAAGCTATGCTTGCTGCACAAGTTTCTTTGACTCATCAGACAGCTACAGGTCAGTTACCCAAAAAATCCTTACTACATAGTTATGTCAAGAGTAGGATCCTAATGACCCTGCAAGAACAATAGTATGCAAGACGAAGGAACAATAAACGATGAACCACAAGCATCAGATGGATTGGAGTATATAATGACATTTCTTTAAAATATTCTGTGACTATTATGATAAACTTCCTTTAAAATATTCTAAATAAAGGTTATTCATAAATAAAATAAATGAATCTAAGTTAGTAATCTATCTTGTTTCTTTGCTAATGTACAGAATAAACTTTTAACCATCTGAAACAGACACGTTAATTTATTCGGCAATTTATCTTAAAGGTTTACACCCATACAACACATCAAGGGTAATTCTGTAGATTAAAGTGCATTTAACATTGAGATTAAAACTCGTGCAACCAGCCCTTAACAAATCAGAGAAAATGGGGCAAAACTAAGAATGTATAAATTTATTATATAATGCATAAAATAATGTTACTAATCACAACAATTTCATTAAATCTAAACTGTCAACATGCAAAATGTCAGATACAAACATACAAGAAGAAAACTTAACTCTTTCTGATTGGTTAGAAAGCAATAGCCTTAACTCTTTTAAGAATGAAATTGAAAACTTTGGGCTTGCTGCTGATGGTTAATCATAGTTTCCTACCAAAACTGATATCGTAAAAATTGTGCTGTGATGATAAAAACAATATAAGTGATAACAGGATGGAGAAATACAAAGGAACAAAAACAAAAATCAGTGCTATCAATCAACAAAGCACAATATGCAATGGACATTTTTTGGAAGTCATGAATCATATATATATATAAAACATTATTTTTATCAAATGAAGTTGTGATGTTTAATATAACTAAAACAGCGTACATTATATTTATATTCTACAGCCATTTTCTAACTGAGACTATCAAAATAATGATGTTATAAATATGGAATTTTTTAAAAATAAAGTAAATGTGGCTGTTTGATAATAGTGCCTCCTGTTCATTATTTCAATAGTCTTGATTAGAAAGTGGTTGTAGAATGTGTGTGACGTATTAGTCATATTGAGCATCACAATTTCACCTGATATAAAACAATTTTTATTCTCTATTGTTTTAATAGTTATTTTATAGATTATTTTATTGTTTACTGCTATTAGTTCTGTTTCTTTATTTTAAAAATTTTTAATAAAAATCTTTTCAATATGTTTTTTTATGTCATATTATTATATTAACGCAATAGTGTCATTTACAAAAATACAATGGCATATTTTACCGACAACAAATAGATAAGTAATAGCTATAATGAGCAACTTCACCTCGTTCCCGCTTACTCATTATAACCGAATTCGACCATAATTGAAATTGTACACATTTATATTTTTGTTGTAAATAATTTCACACATATTCAAACATACTTTCCTTTATCTTGAGAGGTCTTCTCTTTTGAACTTTCTTCACTTGTTTTTATATTTGTGTTGATGGGTTGTAGAACTTCCTTTTTCTCGGTAGACTTAAAAGGTACCTGTAATGAAGAGTATATTGAGTACTTGTATTAGCTACCTGCTTTATAGAAATTATTTCATAAAATTAAAACTAATCTAAAAATCTGAATATTTTATCATGCATATTGTCAAACAATACAGATACATTTGCAAGTAATGTTGAAAAATGCAATGACATATTGAGTCAACTCAAAAGAAAACAGTCATTAACTTTTTTCTTTGGCTAAGCACCAATGCTATGGAAACACGGGCTTCTTTCTCGGGATCGTGCTCATAACCATTAGTGTGTGATTTTACAACCAACCCCATTTCTTCAAGGACTTTGGAGTCAGTAGACCAGCCCCCAACTCCAACTCAAAATTTTAGTTATGTCTCTAACACTTACCTCTAAATAGTAATTTAAAATATATTTTGATTATAATTAATCCAGAATGGCATTTCATCACTCAAGTGAATCATCAGGCATTCCTATCAAAAATGAAAATGCTTACTGTCTTTTTTTCACAGAGTTTTCCATTATCACCGCTGCCATCTTCATCCACACAATGAATTCCATCTGTGGTTATAGTGAAGTATTCAAAAACACTCATTTTAAGCCAAGTCTTCTCAGACATTTAGTATAAATCTTTTGACAATAAAATTTTAGAATTAGCAAATACAGAATAATTTTTGAATATAAATTTCTGGAAAGGGCATCAACAGTAATGGGAGAAAAAATGAACAGTTGTTAGATGGTGTTCTAGGTATGCTTCACTTCCTGTTTAGTGTCTTCTATTATTGCTGTACTGTCACTTTTGCGGTGTGCAATCTCTAAACAGAAGTACTTATGGCAGGTTGGAAAGTCATTATTCTAACTCTTGCTTTAACTCTATACAGTTTTATATACTGTTAAAGAACCTGTAGAAGTTACTGTAAAAGCAGAAACCAACAACCTTTTACCACATATACATAACATTTCATTAGCACCTTTCATAAATTTTTGCAGCAATTTTTCAGGCCTATTACTATGGAAAGAATCAACTTGGATATTAACCAATGAGCATTGACCACATATTGCTTAGTTATGGAAAGTTATTTCTGGTTTCTTCCACATTTTTTAAACATGTCACTGCCATTATAAAGTTTTATGGAAGCTTCATGTTCTGGTATTGGAACATGAAAAAGTATGCTATAATAGTAGTTGAACACATGATTCTTTACAGTTAATGGATACTGTAGAAAATTAACACAATTAACAGAAAAGTCACATATTGCCCAACACATTAAACAAAAAGTCCTGACATCGTTAACAAATGTGCTGATTGGTTTAACAGAAGTGACATTACTCTCAAGTTGATTCTTTCCCTAGACTAACGACACAACAGAATCATGTCTAGGATATAAAAACATTATGCAATCTGAAAACTTTTTTATTTGAAACTGAAGAATTAAGCAGAAAAACCAATGTTAATAGATAGATATTTAATCAATTCAAATATGTCAGAATCTCAAAACATGCTTATTATTTTAAATTCATTAAAAATCTTTAAAATACCTTGAAATAGCTTCCTTAAAACTGAGGTAAGAAATAAAAATACTATGCAATACATGTCCATTTTGCATGAAAAAGATTTACATTTAGAAAAAACTAACACATTTTCTTTTATCATTGCTTCTAACATTTTTTTAAACTTTCTGGTGAGGTCACTAAGAAAGCATTTTTAGCAAGCCCATTATGGGTTCTGCCAGGCACACGACGGGACAGCCGGGTGCAATAGTGGAGGCCCTAGATATCGGGAACAGATCCAGAAAAATTCCCAGGTTCAATCTCAGGTTCCCTAGAGCAATAGGGCTGCCACTTTAGCTACTCGACCATTTCTAACAACATATTGCAAGTACAGTTATACCTCGACTTACGTCGTTCCCAATTATACGTCGTTTGTCAAAAAAGTATATGGAAAAATAAAAATCAAGTTTAAGTCATTTTATTCGACTTTACGTCTGTCCGCCACAAATATTGAAATCGTAATATCACTAGAAAAATGTTTAAAGCACATAAAATCATATTAAAATATATACATTTACAAGTATATACTGTATTTACAGTACATGCATTCGTAAATTTAGATTATTTTTTTCTGTACTATATTAAAAACTAAAATTTGTTTGTTTGTAAGCTTAAAATAGATCCTTATTAACCATATATTATTAAAAATGCATTAATAAATAAAATACAGAACCGGAATTGGCAATTTATGGTTTAGCCTAGTGACAAGTAGATTTGGAGACAAGTAAATTCGACTTACATCGTTTTTCGAATTAAGTCATTCTCCTGGAACCAATTACCGACGTAAGGCGAGGTATACCTGTATACACAATCATATTTTCCTCAAACAGGCTCTCAATTAATAAAGTACTATCAGGTAACTATGGTATATAAATTCTGGCCTGCCTCAAGTTCAATGAAACTTTACATAATACAGAAATTAAAACAGACTAATTATAGTATGTTTTAATTTCTGATCAATTTATTTAACTGTTTCAAAGTTATGTACATTTATAACTTTTTTCTTCTTACTTTTTTAGAACACTTGGTACTACCAATTGAGGTACTGTATACCCTTTATTCCATTAAAGGGTCCCATTTAATATGAAAATAATTATTATTAATTTTTTTTAAATGTATATTTTTCCAATTTTTGTTAAAACAGAACAGAAGCAGTTGCAATTTTCTTTGTTCTACTAAGAAATAATTTCTCATATTTTCAGCATTTTTGGAAGTTGCAAAACTTATCTTCTTAAAATAGTAAAATTATATGCATCCGTATGAGAAACCCTCCTTTACAAACAAGGTTCTCCAGAACACACATTACATAAAGAGAAAACTTATTGTTTATTAAAAAATATTAAAATATTTTATAATTACTTACATTTTGACCTTGAGAGTTTTCTTTGCTGCTCATCTGTAATTAAATTTATGCAAATTAATATTTAACACACTAAAAAACAGGGTGCTTCTAAGCAGTCTCTCTTTTTAGTATATAGTAGAAATGAAACATTCACAATGATGCATAGTAAAACTTATTATATCTATTGCTGTATAACAAATTCTCAATTTCTAGCTCACAAATAGTTTGATGACTTCTAGGAATAAAAAAAGCATCCAAACATCCAGCTGATTAGCTGCATGGTAATGGATTTTTATCATACATGTAGTAATCAGTATACTCATCACTTAGAAGCACCCATAATTTCAGTTCTAAGAAAACAATGTAATAATTTGATATATAGTAAACATTTCATAGTTACACAGTAAATATATTTGCTGTTTTTAATCAAATTTCACCAATTTCATAATAAAGACTATTTTAAATCGAGAAAATAATAAACAATTGCGGAATATTTAAATTTATACAAGATTTCTAAACAACAGTGTTGGATAAAAAACAAAGGACGGCAATGATATCACTGTCCTCTATTTCTGCAAGATCATTCCCGCGACACTAGACACGCAATGGATGTTTTTTAAGAGGAACAATTTTAAATATCTTCTCAGATAATAGGAAGTAATGGAAACACTTAAAAGTTTAAAAATTTTGGAATGACAAAAGACGACAATCCTTGCTCGACAAACCATTTATTGGCAACAAAACAATTTACAGTAATTACTTTTCTATTCGAAGAAAGAACACGTCACAAATATGACACAACCCATTTATTGTAATTATGGATATTGTTATCGGAATCAATATGCAGCCAATAAAATGCAATTGCCATAAGTTATTCATTCAAATGATAACTTTTATTTCAGGAACTGTTTACTGCTTATTTATAAAACATCATTGGACTTAAATTAGGCCATCTTCAGTATCCATGTTCAAATAAGTCATTTTAGAATCCCAAATATTTTACAATAAACAGTTCCATTCAATTAGTAAATAATGCTTCTAGCCCACAATGTAAATTGAGTATAAATTGATTAGCCTAATAAATACAGCTATAATAAATTGAAGGGCTTATCATATCAGGGAATGTCTGGAACAAACTAAATTTAAAAAAAAAAATAGCCTTTAATTATCCACAATCAAGTTTTAGAATGCACTTTGGGTATATAGACCACTCATCAGCCTACATATATCGATACAGTATTAAACACAAAAATATCTATACCATCACAATGTAAGAAGCAATTCCAGACTAACAATTTTAACATAAATACAGTGCACAATTTACATAATGTAAAACCAATAAATTACAATATACTAAAAATTAAATAAATACTAAATAAAAAATTTTTCAATGACAAATTGTAATTATTTGGAAATGGTAAATTCTACATTTTCTTCTTTCCAATTTCAGAGATAGCATCATTTATTACAAGTTAGTGTTGCAATAATTATCATTACATTAGGATAGGTACTACTCAATTCATTTCACAAAACACTTATAAAAGAATAAAACCATCAACAACAAATTACTCAAATATAATATAAATTTAAAACATACTTAACAGCACACACTATTGTTTTCCATCTCTTGTCACTCTCAATATGATGTCTCACACTCCAGCATCAATTTTGCCTCAATCTCAAATTCTTTAATATCCCTCCACCCCTCATTTAGCCTCAGTCCCATGCTATTTATTCTATCTTCTTCAGGTACTTTCGAGATTTCAATATGTTCTTGTAATTTTCTTTTTATTTGATTATTTTCTGTCATTATAGATTTAATACTATTTTTTATAATTTCACAACCATCCTTGTTACAATGTTGTGCCACTGATGATGAAATTAAATTTTTAATGGCATATATGTGTTCTTTAAATCTAATATTTAATTTTTTTCCAGTTTCATCAATAAATCTTTATGTAAACAGCTGCAATAATATGAATAAACTACATCATCATTTTCTAAAACATTATATTCCTTATTTTTATATTAATCATTTTCTCTATAGTTCTCATATGATCTGGTACCAAAATAATATGTAATTTTTTAAATCCTTTTTTTAATTTTTCAAAAACCTGGAATACATATTCCATTTTAAGATAATGTATTTTAACTTTATCTGTTTGTTTATTTTGTATTACTTTTATTTTACTAGTTCCTAACCATTTTAACAACAAAGGTCTAGAGCAGTGTTTCTCAACGGGGGCGATATCGCCCCATGTGGGCATTTTTCCATGTTGAGGGGTCAATTAGTAACAATTTATATTTTGAGGGTGAAAAACAATTTTCTGGGCGATATAGTAAAACATTATATTAAGAATAATTAGATATTTTATCCATTATATCATACAATAATTAAACAAATAACATTATACTAGTCACTAGTCTATTCGATGCAGTACGAATTTAGCATTAGCCTTGGCCCTCGGCATCGGAATTTTGAAGTGAAGGGGGCGATACTACATAACGGTTTTATTGAAGGGGACAAACTACATTGAAGAGGGCGACGATTCGTTAGAGGTTGAGAAACACTGGTCTAGAGCAGGGGTCGGCAACCTGCGGCTCGCGAGCCACATGTGGCTCTTTGGACGTGAAGCTATGGCTCTTTAGTTCCATACGCAAATATTATTTATTTTATCAAAAAAAAAAAAAAAACCTTTAAAAATCGTTCTGAATCGATTAACGAGGATTAGGCACTGATTCTATCTCTCAGCCACTTGTAATCGCTTTTCACCGCACCCCTCCCCCGTGACACGCGTCGTCACTGTCGTCAGTCCGTCGGAAGCTCTCGAATGACGCCGTCGTCGGATGTTTCTATTATCTAATTTGTTGTGAAAAACACTA